TCTATCTAGGTTTTGTTTGCCCTTTGGAAGAGTATCGTGGATTGCACCAGACCTGTTAGCATAGAAACGACAGGCCTCTCCTAGAGCTGCACATGTTACCCATGTGACAAGAACACTAGATCAAGTCCCCTTCAATTTTGGAGGACCATCTCAGCTAGTGACAACCTGAAAGTGAAGAGCCTCAAGGGTGTATTGCAATCAGTGCTACCAACTTCATTCATAGAAGCAAGCAGCACCTTGATCCCCAAGAGCAGAGAGAGCCCCAACTAAAAAAGAGAAGTATAGGCCAATCTCACTAATGAACATAGATGCAAAAAACTTCAATAGATGCCAGCAGACAGAATGCAGAATATCATCAAGACAATTGTACAGGCTGAACATAAATAAATTAAGTGAATAAAAATGAGAAATGAGGAAGTTAAATTGTCACTATTTGAGATGGCATGATATTCTACATGAAAGACCCCAGAACTGCACCAAGTCTTCTAGACTTAATAACAACATTCAGTGGAGGAGCTGGATACAAGGTCAACCAAAACACACAAAAATCAATGGCTTTCCAGTACACAAGCAATAGACTCACCAAAAGAGGAACTGGAGAAACAATTCCCTTCTCAATAGCTTAAAACACACACACACACACACACACACACACACACACACACACACACACACACCAAAACAAAACACATAGGAATTAACCTAACTAAAGAAATCAAAGACCTCTACTCTGAAAATTATAGCACTCTGAAGATAGACATTGAAGATGATATTGGAAAATGGAAAGACATCCCTTACCCTTGGGTAAGAAGTACCAATACCATGTAAATCACATACTTCTAAAACTGTTAGCTAGATTCAATGCAAACCCAATTGAAATCCCAACAGCATATTTCATAGACCTTGAGAAAACCACCCAAAAATTCATTTAGAAGAAGAGACCTAAAGTGGCAAAAGCAATTCTAAGCAATAAAGTCAAGGTAGGGGGCAGCACAAATCCCAACTTCAGGCTATAGCACAAAGCTACTGTGATGAAAACTGCATGGCACTGGCAAAGAAACAGATGCAAGGATCAGTGGAACACTTTAGAAGATGCAGAAACAACTTCAGACTCACTCAGGCACCTCATCTATGACAAAGGAATTAAAAACCCTCACTGGAGGAAAGATAACCTCTTTAATAAACGGCACTGGAAAAACTAGGTTTCAACTTGCCAAAGATTCAAACTTGACCTATATCTCTCCCCATGCACTAAACTGAAATCTTCTGTGACACAGGGTCTGAATCTGGTGAGCGTAGTTGGAGATGAGGAAAGAAAAAACACTAAGATTGTGCCTCAGTGCTGGGATGAGGTAGAGCCAGGCCGGTCAGGAGAGGATGGCTGCCTGGAGTCCAGCATGGTCTGTATTTTTAGAGAAAGGCAAACTGGAAGGGAGGCAGGGGAAATAGTGCTATGAGGCCTCGCCTTAATGCAGTGTGATTATGTTGTGATCAGGGCTTGCACAGAAAGGCAACAAGGAAGAAGGATATGGAATGTAACTTTGTCCTGGGGCTGTGCCTTTCAGGGTCTAAATTTACAGTCTATGGAGGAGAAAGGGCATAGGGAGGAGGCAAAGGGCCATCTTCAGATGCAGTGCATGGCATCTCCCTCGTTTATGTTTGAAAAGGACAGCTGCATCGGGTCTGGTGATCTTTGCAGGTCCCAGGGCTGTGGGAGGGGAGGGGAGTGGCTCAGGTGCAGCCTTTGTGTTGCTCTCGGCACAGGTGTCACATTGTGGTGCTCGCAGCACATGCACCAATTTGGTCTGTGGTGGTGCATTCTGGGAGGATAATGTCGGGGGCACCTTTTTATTTTCTATGCAGAAGTAAGCAGTCCCTGACCCCATGTTATTAATTCGATGGAGCCATTAACCTTTTATTGTGGACATCCTTTGACAACAGTAGTGCCTGGGACATGTCTACAGATCCATCATGGTATATATTTACTTTCAATAAGAGGATTTAAAAAATTTTAAATGCAAATAACAAGATCTAATTTAGATTTTAGAGATAGCCATATCCCCCTTTTTTTTGTTTATGTAATTGTGCTTTTAGAGAAAGCTGAGTATGGCCAGCAGTGGCTGTCCCCGTGAGTTATCTAAGGGACCTCTGAAACAAGCACTTACAATGTGTCTACTTACTTAGCTATTTATAAAAAATTTTTTTAATAAAGAGAACCTCCAGCTGTGGTTAGGGGAGAAATGGCATAATTTCAGTCCATTTGGTCATGCTGAGAAGGGTAGATTTAGGGAAGGCAACAGTTGTTTGTTTTTTTATTCCATTAAGTTTATTTTAGGTACACAGTACAGTTACATTCATCATTGGGATCTTGTATCTTTACGTGACAGTTTTTGGTTCTTACTTTTTCCCAAACCCTTCACCTCCTCCCTACTCCCCTATTTACAAAAAACTTTGTTTCCATTTTTTCCTTTACTCATATTTTTTTCTTTTCACTTATTTCCTTTTATCCTCCCCTTACCAACCTGCCCTATACTTTTAGCCCTTTCCTTCCTATTTCACATTGTCAATTATACAATTTGGATCTCATTTCACTTTTATTTTGTCACACCAGAGAAACTACTCCAGGCAGACAACAGTTAGGGGCTCTCTTCAGGGAGATAATATAATAGGCCTTAAGTAAAAATCATGTTGCAATTTTAAACACTTCATAAAGTCAGTCCAGTGGATTTGGGTGAAGAAATCTAACACATTTGTTGTTGATTTTTTTCTATGATTGCTTGGAGTTTGGTGCCTATAGGCAAGAATAAACAAAATTGTTCCAGATTATAGAGCACACAATCAAAGTATAAAAACTGAAATATAAGAGCAGGTTGGGGAAAGAGCCATGTTTAGAAACTCTTTTTAAAAGAGTAAAATAGTTTCTGTAACCACCTGGCTCTTAGACCCTTTTATTAATGTAGATTATCAGTAACTGGTTGTGGTCATTTAGTTGGAAACGGTACTGCATTCAGATCAGCCATTGGTCTGATATTTGGTCATAATATTTTTTAAAAAATTTTAGCTGCAAAAAGGCTTGAAAATTTATTAATTGAATAAATCAAGTTTAGCTAAAAATTTCAAAGCTCATGTTAAGGTCTATAAACTTTACCATAGTTTTCTCTATTGACCCACAATAAGGGTGAGTACTAGTGTAGTTCGAAACTGCCAGTAGGGGTCAGCAATTGGAGCTCCTTCTTGTCTTGACTTCATATATCGTCTTTGGATTATACTTTCCTATTTTTTATTGGGTGAGACCTAAATTAATTAGAATTAACCACCTGCTGTCTCTCAAGGTCGACTAAGTCTCCGCAGGGGTTGCTTGGAGCCCTGTACAGAGCTTCTCAGAGGCCCTCAGTGTCAGCGGTCAGGATGTGTCATGGCCTTGCCTGACCATGGTGCCTAGCGCTTTGTTTTAAGGTATCCTTTGTTGTAGTTGTTGTAGTTGTTGTTCTCACAGTGTTGCTATTTGGAATTGGACAGGCTGCCAGAAGGACAGTAGGAACCTTGAGCTCTTCATCAGTGAAGTACAGAGGAGAGCAAGCTAACCCCATAATCATGCTAACCCCATAATTATAGGTCAAGAATTTGCAATTCACAAGAAATGTTTTACACACACCAGTTGAACCTAAGCTCAAACTGAAACACAGATGAAGTTATATATTAGCTAGAATTTATACCTCGGTTTCTCATGTCAAGTTTCTCCTTGTTTGGTAGAGCACAGATGCAGTTTGTCTGGCTTTGTTTTGGGTTCTGGAATTGGCAGGCAGCATCAGGCTGGCCTTGGGGCTCTTTAAGCCAGAAGTTTTGTTTGCTTTGTTTTGTTTTTTTAACTATTTCGCTTTATGCTCTTTAGAGATTTCCCAGCTGTTTTCAATCCATTACTTATTTTCTCATTTCAGTTCTTTCAAAAATGAGTGCAAGGTTTGAATTTTTCTAAGTGTGACCACAGCACTTCCTGGTGCATGAATGATAAATAGTCCTCATGTTTCTGCCCCCTCTGCATCTGTGATCTCAGCATCTCAAGAGAAAATAAAGACAGTGCCAAACATTTTACAAGAAATGACAGGAATTGTGTTAAATACATATATAAGCACGTAATAATAACCACCAATTTATAAAAACATGCACAAAACAGGCAGTAATGGATAGAGTATTTCTTTTATACATAATCATTATCTCCCAAATTGTCTTCAACATTAAGATATATCACTGTCCTATAACTAAAGTCTTCTTCAATATTTTACCTGATCCCAAAGTGGGAACTGCTCCTCTGTTTTCTTAGGCATTTATTAGTTGTTAAATGAAATTGAATAAAAGAGGTTGGGAAGACATAAAGGAATACTATTTAGAAATACGTACTATCTATTATGTCAAAATACCATAGAAATTTAGGTCTTTGGGTGATAATGGCCAGCACTAATTTCATTGTCCTAAAAGTTTTATGTCCACCTTCTGATGATAGGGCCATGGAATTATTATATATCATGCACGTGGGCATACTGAATTATTCTTTCAGTGAATTAGTGTTTGTCAAATGCTAGACAAGCACCAGATCTACAAGCTAAGTACTGTAAACTTGACTTAAAATCAATTGCTCCAAACTTTGTTGCTATTAGTCACTATAACCATATGAAATATGAAAAATGAAGTTCTTTGACTTATGAAAGTCTCTAAAATTGGGGTATCCAGAAATATTATATTGATATAATATTTAAAAGTACAAAAATTTTCTTTTGGAACGAAAGTTTTCCTTAACAGCACAGATTTTTTGCATCTTGGATTTAACAAATAATTAATAACTCCAAATTATAATATGAAATAGCAATTATCTTTGTCAAAAAATGTCCATAGTCATGACTGTTAAATGAGCTGCTGGAAAGGGGAAATAAACAAAAAAATTATTTTAGAGTAAGACCAAGGAATTTCTCAGAAGAAAAACGGACCAGTGAAAGCATAAATACCTAGCATCCCTGTAATTTTAATTGTCTAAAACATGATCTCTTCTGCATGATTCTAATAGCAGCCTGTTTCACCTCTTTGTTTCTGAGACTGTAAATAAGAGGGTTCAGCATGGGGACCACAATCATGTAAAACACAGAAGCCACCTGATCCCTGCCCAAGCTGTAGGACGTCTTCGGTTTTAGGTAAGTAAAGATCATAGTGCTGTAGAAGATGGTGACTCCCAGGAGGTGGGAGGCACAGGTCGAGAAGGCTTTCTTTTTTCCTGCAGTGGAATTAATTTTCAGGATAGTGAAGAGGATGGACACATAGTATCCTGATATGGTGATGAGGGACAGCACTGAAATGGATCCACCACAAATGAATATAATGAGTTCAGCCTCAGAAGTGTCACTGCAGGACAGGGCTAAAATAGGGGATGAGTCACAGAAGAAGTGCTGGATGACATTAGACTTGCAGAAGGGCAGTCCACTTATACAAAGCACAATGACAGTGGAATCCACTAACCCAATAATATAGGAACCAGTAAGCAGTTCATGGCACAGTCTTGTGGACATAATGATTTGATAGTGCAGGGGGCTGCAGATAGCTGCATAGCGATCATAGGCCATAGAAGAGAGAAGGAAACATTCAGCAGCAGCAAACACTATTAAAAAGTACATCTGTGTGAAGCAGCCCAGGAAGGAGATGCTCTTGTTGGAAGTCAGTAAGTTCTGTAAGGTTTTAGGGGTGATGACACTTGAGTAGCTGAGGTCGATAAATGATAAGTGAGTGAGGAAAAAGTACATGGGGGTGTGCAGCTGGGGATCCAGGCGGATGATCAATATCATCCCCGCGTTCCCCAGCCCTGTGATCAGGTAAATCAGCAGGAAGAGCACGGAGAGGACCAGCTGTGTCTCTGCAGAGTCCGTCAGCCCCATGAGGATGAAGCCAGGCACACTGGTGGAGTTCCTTCTACCCATGGTGCTTTGTTGCAACTTGTAGAATAAAGAAATCTTTAAAAGAAACATCTTCAAAAATATTATTGGTTATGTGCATGGCTCCATATTTTTCACATTGTTCCTAGAAACTGATGAAAATCCTTGTAATTAAGAGTGAAAAAAGACAATTGCCATGTATAGATGTGGTTATCAAATAACTTTTGCTTCTGATACAATAAAGGGTTACATAGTGTTTTCGCATGAAATTTATACTGCTTCTAACTCATTCCTTAATTAACACATTCAATTCTCAGAAAAGATTATACCATAAGGACTGTTATACACATGCATTACTTCCAAATAAGGGTAGAAAAATTACCTATGTAAATGGAGTATTTACATATTGCCATTGAGTCAACCTAGAAATTTTGACTTCAGAGAAAGACTTACCATGCTGTGCTCCTGATATGAACTTGTTTTCCCATCCCTTAATGAGGATATATGCGTGACCATTCCAAAAAGCATTTTCATTGTGTTATTCATTGTACATTTGTTAAAATTGTCTTACTGTATCAATTCCTGTAATTTCTGTCTGGCAATTAGGTGATTCATATGAATATTAAATTCCTGAAGATATACTAACATAGAAAATATTAATCTTTATAGGTTTTGGATTCTTAATAAGAGGCTTCTCCAGCTTCTACTAGCCAGGAGCAGTAATACTCTTCTGGTTCACCACTGAAATTCCTTCATGCAGATTTAATCCTGGTCTGAAAAATATCACCACTGTCTGAAAAGAAAATTCAGATATGACTCTAGGAGTTCAAGGTCTGCTTTAACTTAGAAAGGGGAGGCAAAGATCTTGGAGTCACCTAGACATAAAAGTCCTTGAAAAAATTAACAAGGGAGACAGAGATTTGTGGGGAGAAGAGGCTCCTGCCTCTTGTGTGGTGTAAACAAACCTTCTTTTTGAACCTAAATAACTACCTCCTCCTTTGCTGAGGCAGGCCGAGATTGAATGGACATTCAGTTCTGGTAACAATATTTTTTTTAACTTGCCCATTCAAAATAATTTTTCCTCAAAAAATTAAATTTTCAGAATATATACATTGTTTATATACTTTGGTTTCTTTAACTCTGTATCCCTTTGTCTGCATAGGTAATGTTTATCATGAAGCCCAAAGATTATATGGGCACATTTTTTTTATAAAATCCCCTTTATTTTATCTAGTATAATCCCCTTCTTTTTCTCTGAAACTTACTGTGCACCAAAGTTGCTGAAAAACTGTCTTCCAATGTTGTCTGTTTAGAAATTTGTCAAGCAAAAAATATTCTCAGAAATAAAATAGGAAACATTGTCGTTAGTGGAAGATAGTTGTAATTGTTTTGTTTTCCTGGGGGTAATTTATCTTTATATTTTTCTGCATTCATTTTTTTCTTCTGAAGAAAACTGTATCTCCCTAGAAATTTTGTCCAAGTCTTGATCAAATGGAAAGGTCACCCCGAAGTTTCCTCTGAGAAGAGTCTGAGGAGGAGCTGTGAACGGAGACAGAGCAGTGTGTGCCTCTCCTCCCAGTCAGCCTCATATACGGTGCATTCAGGACACTGCAGCCTTTGCTCATCCTCGGGGAGCAATTTCCAGGGAAGATTCCTTGGCCTGATTCCAAGAGAAAAGTTAGGATTTAATGAGCACAGCATTTTGTCTTTTCCCTTGGAAAAAATTTCCTCCCTATGTAATAAAGTGATTTAGCTCTAATTCAATTAAAAGTTAAAGAATTTCTTCTACTTAAATGTTGTCTACAAAGTCACACTATCTATCCACAAAATTGACACAATATGTAATAAAATGTATTTTCTTAATTAAAAATGCATATAAATGAATAAAAACTAAAACTATAACAAAAACACCTGAGGAGGGCTGACAGCCAATAATTATAAGAAATTACTAAGATATTCACGTGATTTTTAGCTCATACAATATATTGAAAATACATTTATTAAATTCTAAACCATGATAATAAAGACTGTCACGAATAACTACAAATAAAGGGAAAATATAGATATATAAGGAAAACAATTAATGATTTGAGGTAATATTGATAGAAAAAGCATAATTTTTTCATTGACATAAAATGTGAATAATGTATTGCATATTTAAATATTAGAATAAATTAATTAAGAGTTAAATTATTAAAACACTGATTAAACTTGATTTTTTTCCAGTACTGGGGATCGAAGAAACTTAATTCTTACAATAGAGATATTGCACTTTAGACACCTAAAATGATGAAGTACACATGATATAACTTCAATTTCACAAAGTAGATGTTTTATAATTACATGTTTGGAGTAAGATAATCAATATAAGAATTTTTATACAAGTTTAAATGAAATAGCTTACTTGGAAAATGGAACAACGTACTGTAAATTAACCTAAAAATGTCAAACAGAAATCGTAACCTGACATTAGGTGTCCAGAGATAAAATGCTTTTTAAATGAAGGAAACTTTTATCCCTCTTCTTGGTCCAAGCGTATGGACTGCCGCATCTTCTAAATTCATTGTCAATTCCTCCCTTTGCCACAGTTTTACTTAAAAAGTACAAGTGAGGCAAACAATAATTTAATTTATCTTTGAAGAACACCACAAACCTGAAGACGTGAAAAGAGGCAAAGAAGCAGGCGTTGAGCGCCCTGCCCTCTCACGGGAGGGTCTGTCTCCTGCACACGGCTCACAGGAGCCCAGCTGATTATCTGCTGCTGCTCACCGAGTGCATTTGCACCATCTCAGTTTCCAGCCCTGCACAACGAGAGTGGAAATTTTACTCATACACTGAGTACATGTTGATCTGACAGGTCTTAAATGCACCGAGATTATTACATTTTAATATTTAAAATAAAAATAGAAAATATACAAGAAATTGCAGAAATTACATTAAATATATCGGCATGTATTCATAATCAATGATCTAGAAAATGCGCACAAAACCTTTAACAATGGATACAAGGTCTCTCTTTTCTTTAATAATTATCATTTTCCAAAGTATCATCTACATTAAGATATATCACTTTCCTTTTCCCTACCCTTTCCACTTCTCCAACACCTTTAACTCTTTTCTTCCTATATCACTGTATTGTATCCTTACAAAGTTCCAATAAACTCAATGAGAAAAAAATATATATCACTTTCCTATAACTTAACCCTACATCTACCTTCATTCTTATGGAAAGATACCCAGAAGAGGGATGGCTGGGTCAAATGGGACTTCAAATCCTAGTTCTTTGAGGCATCTCCACATAGATTGTTACAGTCTGCACATCCACCGATGATGAAGAAGGTTACTTTCTCCCCACGACCAGAAAAACATATGTTATTGGTTGATTTTTTGATAGCAGCCGTTCCTTCTGGGGTGAGGTGGAATCCCAGTGTTGTTTTTCATCTGCATCTCTCAAATAATCAGTGATGTGGAACATCCCCTCACATTTTTATTTGCTGTTTTTACTTCTTTGTTTGGGAAATGTGTGTTCATTTCAGATTCCATTTTGAATTGGGTTTTTTAATGTGGGGGGCCTGAATTTCTTTCAGATATAAGATACTTGACTCTCTTTCATTTTTATCTTTATTAAGTTTATTGGTACATTTTAGGTATACAACACAGTTACATTCATCACTGGGATCTTGTACCTTTTTTGTTTGTTTGTTTTTGTTTTTTGCTTTTTTTAGCACCAGGGATCGAACTTGGGTCCCTGTGCTTCCAAAGCAGGGGCCGGAACGACTGAGCTAAATCCCAGGACCTGGGATCTTGTACCTTCACACGACTTATCTTGCTTCTTATTTTTCCCCATTTCCAGGCCTCCCTTTACCCTTCCACCCTTCCCAGTTTACAATGATATTGTTTCCTTTTTTTTTTCCTTTTTACGTATTTTTCTTTTCCCCTTTCCCCTCCCACTTCCTTTATACTCGTTTACACATTTTCTTCCTATTACACAATATCAATTATACATTTTGATCCTTATTTATTCTTTTAGTTTTTCAGACCAGAGAAACTATTCAGTATTTACACGAGTGTGACTTACAAATTTAACTTAAGGGTAAGGCGTCAATGTACATCAACTTAGGTATAAATATCTCTCATTTCTCATTGTTTATGGCTGAGTAGTACTACATTTTATTTTAAAAAATCATCTTTATCCAGTCACCAGTTATTGGGCAATTGGGCTGTTTCCAAATTTTAGCTACTACAAACTGCCTCTGTAAACATGGGTGAGCATTTTGAGACAGTGGCTTTGTAGTATAGTTTCAAGTTGGGGATTGTGAGTCTCCCTGCCATGTCTCTGGTGCCTGGAGTGGTGTTTGCTAGTCTAGGTTTCTTCTGGTACCAAATGGATTTTTGTGCTGTTTTCTTTAGTTCAGTGAAATATACTGCTGGGATTTCAACTGGGATTGCATTGAATCTGTACAGCAGTTTTGGAAGGATGGCCTTTTTTCAATACATTGGTTCTTCCTACCCAGAAACGAGGGATGTCTTTCCAGTTTCTTATATCTTCTTCGATTTATTTTTTCAGAGTGTTGTAGTTCTCAGTGTAGAGGCCCTTTGCTTCCTTCGTTAGACTGATTCCTAGATATTTTCCACCAATAATGGGGAAGGGCTCCTTTCTTCCCACAACCCCACCATTGTTTATTATTTGTTGATTTCTTGATAGCAGCCTCTATGTGACCTTTGATATTGTGAAGTGTTTTTGGAAACTGAGTACATCAACATTGGGTACACACATATTTATTTTTGCTGTCTATTGGTAAATTACACCCATTGGCATTAGAAAGTAGGCTTCATTGTCTCTAATGAATAACTTCTCCTTTAAGTCTACTGGGGTGAATCTAAGCATAGCTTCTCAGACTTGTTTTAACCTTCAAGCTGACTGAAGTATCCGTTTCCTTTCAATCAGTATTTTTTGGGGGCCAATGTATTTCTTTCATATATTAGGCAACATATATCAGCATGCTGTTTTTTGATCCTATCTGTTATTTTATGTCACTTACTGAAGAGTTAAGACAATTTCATGAAATACTGTGAAATGTTTTCTATTAATTTATTTCATTTTGTTCTTTTTCTAGTGTTTGTTTCACATCTCATATTACTTTCTCTTTTTTATCATATTCCAAAAATTATATTCATTTTCCCCCTTGGTGTCATGATTGTGAAAACTTTCAGAAGAATTTTTTAAATCATTTTGTTCAGTAAGTATTTTTTTTTATCCTTGAAGGTGTATATTTTTCCTTCAGCTGAACTAGGAATAGTTCTGTAAGTTTGTAATTATTTCCTTCAGGGCTCAAAGTGCACTAATTCAACCCCTCTGGCTTTTAGATTTTCAGTTCAAAAAATTGTTTTGCCTCTGAGTTAATAATTCTAAGTGATACAGTATTTCTTTGTATCTACTTAAAAAGTATAACACACAAAGCAAATGAAATCATAAATTTATTTTGAAAGAATATTAAAAACTTGTAGACATCAGGAGAAAGGCAAAGAAGCCAGGGGCTGAAGATCCTTGTCCTGTCACAGAAAGGTTTGTTCTCCATGTGGCTCCCAGGAACAAACCTAAGGGCTGTAATTGCTCACTGATTTTCAAATTGGCAAATTCACAACATTTCAAGTTAAAAGCGCTATACAATGAGAGTTGTAATTTTTCTCACACCCTGAGTACATGGCAATTTTACAGGTTTCAGTTATTACAGATTGTTCAATATTAAATTTTACAGTGAATAAAGAAAGCAGCAAAAATGCCTGTAAAATTGCAGCACACAGAAATACTATATAGATATAGTTTTTTAAAGTACAAATTATTTTTTCTTTTTGCACAAAATTTTCTTTAAAAGAGAAATACTTTTACATATTAGATTTAACAAGAAATTGATGGTTTCAAATTAAAATATGCATTTTTAAGTACCTGTTTCTTCAAATATCCAACATGATGTTTGATATGCAATAGAGCCACTGAATGGTGAAAAAACAAGACTGAATTATTTTAAGGGATAAAACAAATAATTTCTTAGAAGAAAAAGAGAAAAATAGAAAACTGTAAATGCCCAGGCTGTTATTTTAATTGTCTAGCACCCCCTCTCTTCTGCATGATTCTAGTAGCGGCCTTTTTCACCTCTTTGTTCCTGAGACTGTAGATGAGAGGGTTCAGCATGGGGATCACAATCGTGTAAAACACAGAAGCCACCTGATCCCTGCCCAAGGAGTAGGAACTGTTTGGTCTTAGATAAGTAAAGATCATAGTGCTGTAGAAGATGGTGACTCCCAGGAGGTGGGAGGCACAGGTGGAGAAGGCTTTTCTCTTTCCTGCGGTGGAATTAATTTTCAGGATGGTGGAGAGGATAGACAGATAGGATCCAGATATGGTGATGAGGGAAAACACTAAATTGGATCCAGCACAAATGAATATAATAAGTTCAACCTCAGAAGTGTCACTGCAGGACAGGGCTAAAATAGGGGATGAGTCACAGAAGAAGTGCTGGATGACATTAGAGTTGCAGAAGGGCAGTCTGCAGTCTGCTATCACAGTGGAATCCACAAAGCCAATAACATAGGAGCCAGTGAGCAGGGACCAGCACAGTCTTGTAGACATAATGACTGGATAGTGCAGGGGGTGGCAGATAGCTACATAGCGATCATAGGCCATCCAGGAAAGAAGGAAACATTCAGCAGCAACAAAGACTATAAAAAAGTACATTTGGGTGAAGCAGCTCAGGAAGGAGATGCTCTTGGTGGAAGTCAGTAAGTTCTGTAAGGTTTTAGGGGTGATGACACTTGAGTAGCTGAGGTCTATAAATGACAGGTGAGTGAGAAAAAAGTACATGGGGGTGTGCAGCTGGGGATCCAGGCGAATGATCAGTATCATCCCCGAGTTCCCCAGCATCGTGATCATGTAAATCAGGAGGAAGAGCACGGAGAGGACCAGCTGTGTCTCTGCAGAGTCCGTCAGCCCCATGAGGATGAAGCCAGGCACACTGGTGGAGTTCCTTCTACCCATGATGTTTTGTGCACCTTGTAGAATAAAAAAAAATCTTAAAAAGAACCCTATGTTCAAAACTATTATTGTTTAGGTGTATGGCTCAGTAGTTTTCATATTGTTCCTAGAAATTGATGAAAACCATTGCAAAGAAGAGTGAAAAAAAAATGCCATGTGTAGATGTGGTTATCAAATACCATTTAGTTCTGATACAGTAAAGGGTTATATTGTTTTTTTAGCATGAAACTGATAGATAATACTTCTCACTCATTCCTTAATTAACACATTCAATTCTCAGGAAAAGATTGTACCATAAGGACTCTTATCCGCACACATTACTACCAAATAAGAGTAGAAAAATTACTTTTGTAAAGGAGAGTAGTTATATACTGCCATTGATTCAACCTAGATATTTTGACTTCACAGAAAGACTTACCATGCTCTGAGCCTGATCAGGGTTTTCCCAGCCCTTAATGAGGGTATATGAATGACCATTCTAAAAAGCATTTTTATTGTATTACCTATTGTCCTTTTGTTAGAAATGTCTTACTATATTAATTCATGTAATTTCTGCATGGGTAATTAGGTGATTCATATGAATGTCAAATTCCTGAAGATATACTAACACACAAAAAATGAATCTTTATAACTTTTGGATTATTAATAAGAGGCTTCTACGGCATCTACTGGCCAGGAGTAGTAATACTCTTCTGGTTCACCACTCAAATTCCTGCATGGTGATTTAATCCTGGCCTGGAAAATATCACCACTGTCTGAAAAGAAAATTCAGATATGACCCGAGGAGGTCAAGGTCTGCTTTAACTCAGGAAAGCGAGGCAGGGAGCTTGAAGTCACCTAGACATAAAGGTCCTTGAAGAAATTAGCAAGGGAGACAGATATTTGTGGGAAGCAGAGGCTCCCGTCTCTCCTGTGGAGTAAACCTACGTAACTGTCCCCATCCTCTTTGAGGCAGGCAGAGATTGTATGGACCTTTAGCTCTGGTAACAATGTATTTTTCAACTTGCCCATTAAAAATAAATTTTCTTCAAAAAAATTAAATTTTCAGAATATGTACATTGTTTGTATACTTTGATCTCATGAACCCTATATTTCTTTGCCTGCAAACTTAATGTTACTTATCGTGATGCCCAAATTATATATGTGTACATTGTTTTTTTTATAAAATCCTCTTTATTTTATGTAGTATAATCCCCTTCTTTTTCTCAGAATGATACTTACTGTGCTCACAGTTGCTGAAAAAACAATTTTCCAATGTTGTCTGTTTAGAAATTTGTCAAGCACAAAATATCTCAGAAATAAAATATGAAGGCATATAGTGAGTTGGAAATTTCTGTAATCTGCTTGTTTTTCTTGGGGTAATTTATCTTTATATTTTTTGCATTCTTTTTTTATTGTAAGGAAAACTATATCACCCTAGAAATTTTGTTCAAGTCTTGATCAAATGGAAACAAAACCCCAAAGTTTCCTCTGAGAAGAGTCTGAGGAGGAGCTGTGAATGGAGACAGAGCAGTGTGTGCCTCTCCTCCCAGTCAGCCTCATATACGGTGCATTCAGGACACTGCAGCCTTTGCTCATCCTCGGGGAGCAATTTCCAGGGAAGATTCCTTGGCTCAATTCCCAGGAGAAAAGTTCAAGGATTTAATGAAGAGATGTTGTCTTTTCCCTTGGAAGTCCCACATTTAGAAAATACGCACTGCATCTTCTCATGGGATGCTCCAAAATTCTGCTGAACTTCTGTCATTTACCTTTTAAATTGACACATAGTTATATAAACTTACCAGGCTTCAGGTTTAGAGTTGAATGATTAATCAGGATTTTGTTGACTAGGATTTTGCTAGGGACATCATGAAAGACGGAACCATAAAATTTTTTTCCTGGAAATGTTTTATTCTTAAATCACTGATTTGGCCACTGATAAAATGCATATTCATTACAAAGAAATTAGAAATCATCAAAATTTTAAGAAAAAAATAAAGGAGTTTAAGACTTGTTATAGTTTATTTAAGTAATAGCAATTTCCTCCAGTTTTTTTTTTCTTTGTGAGGAAAAAAAATAATTTTATGTGGTTTTTTGTTTGCATAATTATTATACTCTAGAGAATTACTATTTTATCCTAATATTTTGACTCAACTGCTCATGTTATCCTGTTACTAATGAGCTTCCTAATGTCTCCTGTATTGGACAGGACTCCAGTCAAGGACTCCAGCTCACTGGCAGAACTGGGACAATTATTAGGCATCCTCAGGCCCCACAGGAATGGGGCAGAACCTACAATCTGATTTGTCTCTCTCGATGGCTTCTTCTACAGGCTATTTTAATGTAATACATTTTATCATTTTAGTGTTCAAAGAGAAAGACAAAAACAGCCCATATACTATGATGAAACTGGTAGTGATTAGAGGGAAAATACCTGCTTTGTTACAGTGTCTTGAGAAGAATAATAAGAAAACTAAACATAAACATAGAGCTGAAATGTTTTCTGAAAGGTTGAGGGTTAGGGTTAGGAATAGGGTCTTGTTGAAAAGATTTTCAGTGAAGTTGAAAACTTACCACTGCTTCATGAAGACAGAATAATTATCAGTAATGTCAATATCTTAAGAACAAATCATTCGCCAACATATAATTTAGAATTTGTTTGAGAAATTCTCCAAAATGTTTGCTAATTCATGATCAGAAAAAAAGGAGAGAAGATAAGTGAAATAGGTTGAGGGTAGGCTTTAATGAGAATATTTACTTATAAGAAGAAAAGAGTGAGGGAGAGGATGTTCAAGAGGTGTGGTAAGGGAAGGAATAAAGAACGGAACGCAGGGCTGTATGCAGGAAAGCGGAGAGTGCAACCAGTTAAACATTAGCAGATATATGCGTGACAGGATGTCAGAAAGCCTGAAACAACCCCAGCAGAGGAGAATTTATCAGAGCAAAGCGAGACCTTCTCAGTGCACACACAAAAGCATAATGCTTACAAAATCACACGCACAGTGACTCTGCCTCCTTAGGGGGCATCTGGACTGGAGACCAGTGTTCCCTGTAAATTCCACGGTGGGACAGGGCCTCATAGGAGGAGCAACACGGAAGTCACGTTGTCTTTCCCTGTGTCTCCTGCTCAGCCTCTGTCCAGGTGGGAGAGGCCATTTCCTGCAGCCTGGAGCTGAGCTCTGCCCTCCATGGTGACTTCTGTCCTCTGCCAGGTCTGCCCTTGGGGATCCTGAACCACAGTTTCTAATCATTCCCTGTGCTCTTGGGAGCAAGGGTGAGGGGAAAACACGGTGTGTGCATAATCTGTGTGCAGGTCCCGACCATGGCCCCAGTGCCTCGATTCCAGGCCTGGCTCCAGGAAGCTTGGATGTCAGTGTCTGTGTGCTGCCCGGATTTTTCCTAAAACCTCGCAGGAGAGAAGAGAACCAGAGTCCAAAGGTCTTCACTGGGATGAGGAGCTGTGCACACCCTGCCTTCCACACCTCTCTGCAGCCTGATTCCCAGCCTCAGATTCCCACCTCCCACAAATCCTCCTGAGCCTGAGCTCTGGCCTGCAGCAGTGATCAGAGCACCTAGTTTGCTATATCCTGGCTTTTTGTGTTCTGCTTTTCCCTTCACTGGGCTGGATGTGACCCCCACTAGCTGGGCTCCTGCTCTGTCTCACTCCATTGAGGATTTCTCATTTCTCTTCCTTCCCTTTATTCCTTTACCCCTCCATATTTACAGAGACTTTGATTTCATTTTTTTTCTTTTCTCATATTTTTCCTTTTCCCTTCTTTTCTTTCCCCTATCGCAGTTTGCATTTCTCTTTAACCTTTATTTTCTATTTCACATTATCTGTTATACATTTTGATTCTGATTTACACTTGCAGTTTCTCACACCAGAGAAACGACTCAGTATTTATATATGCATGTCCTATTTATTTCACTTAAGCGCATGGCCTATTCACATTCACGTACCTATAAATTTTGGAATAAATGCATTTGATGCATGATTTGTCTTAAATGAGAAACAACGTGTACATAATGTAAAAATCAAAGAAAAGCAAGGCATAGTGGTGCATTTCTAAAATCACGGCACATGTGAAAGCGAGACAGGTGGATCACTGAGGTTTGAGGTCAGGATGGACATCATAGCAAGACGTGTTCTCAAATGATCTGCCATCAAAATAATAAATATAAATAAATAAAAAGGATGGAAACCTAGAGGTAGGCATAGTGACATCAGTCTATAATCTAAGGACTCAGAATTCAGGGATAGGTGGATCATCTCCACTGGCCTACATAGTGAGTCCACGGCGTAAAGTATGTAGTGATGCCCCGTCTCAGGCAGAGAGAGAGAGAGAGAGAGAGAGAGAGAGAGAGAGAAATATGCAGTAATAAGAAATCAATTTGGGGGGTATATGGGAAAGGAGGCCAGGGAAAGTTAAGAAAAGAGAGGGCAGGAGAGCTAAAATGATTAAAAAGGCCATTATTGATAAGTACCAATTAAAATGGTCTGAAATGAAGTATGAGTGGTTTTTACCTCAGCCTTCATATTTTCTAGCCTATTGTCATGTAAAATTTTAGAGAATAAACTTGCATCCTCACCACCTTAAATTGTCTTTGTCTTAACATTATCATAACTACCCAGAAACCCTAAGATAATGAGGAAAATTTCCTCCCTTGCAATAGTAACAGTGTACATATCTATGCAGCGTATTGGCTGTTGAACAATTTTACTAATGCCTGTGCTTTCTGTGGTTTTATGTCCATGAAATTGTACTACAATTTTGCTTTATCCCATATGAAAGATCATATATAAAAACTTTAAATAATTGGCTCAATGACACTTATATTAATAGAGTGATGTCCAAATTAAATCATAAGTTGCCTAGCAACAGAACTCTTGCTTTTCAGTTAACTTTGTGTGAAGAAATGTAGGAATTTTCTCATATTTTCGCTTTATTATTGAAAATCTTCACTAACTAAATGACAGAAAGAAGACAGAAAACTAATGTATACAAAATACTTTGTACAAATGA